AATTCCCACTGCACCGAGCCCACTCCGCCCAACTACGCCCTTGCACCCCTCTATTCGCTCATCCCGAACATTCGCACCTGTTCCTTCACGAGCAGGGCGTGCCAGCATGTCGAGCGGCATTGCAGCATTCTTCCGTGTTTTGACACCGGAGGAAGCAGCAAAGTTGAAGGAAGAGTCTCGTGTGGCGGATCGGGAGAAGCGTGAGGAGCAGCTGCGGCAGATCCGCATCAAGGAAGCTGTGAAGGCGGACGCGAAGAAGACGCATGAGCGAGCGCTGGGAGCGAAACGTGCTCGCGAGTGGAGGCTGAGACAGAAGAAGGCAAAGGAGACGGAGATGGTGGAGAAGGCGGTCTCAATCAACGACGTTCTCGGCGTGCACAAGCCTACGCATTCACTTGCGAAACATATACCTATCGCTGAAGCCTCTCGTCCCCGCCGGCAATTCCTCATCGACGAACGTGTCCACAACAAGCCCTGCGGACGTAAGCGCAAGCACACGGATGGTCACGCTGTACGACACAACTGGTCGAACCTGCTCTTGTTCCTGCAGATTGTCAATGCAGGAGATCGTGCACGCCCCAAGATGTCGCCAGCAGTCATTCAGCGTGATCTTCAACTCTCGAACCCAGCAGCCTTCAAGGACATCTCGCAGCAGGTCATTGGCCGACTGATCGAGCGCCCTAAACTCGCACCGGCACGTTGGAAGCCTTGCGTGATTGCAAAGTTGGAGGATAATCACGCGGGCTCCCGTCCACACTCCGAGTCGACGCGCGGCGGTGTACTGGAAGCCTATCCTGAACTTCTGGATGCCATCCTGGTCCAGCTTTTGGGACTTCGGAAGCGCAGTGTCTCTCTGAACGCGCGGGTTGCTCAAGGACTGATGCTCGCCCAGATCATGCACCATGCTCCTGAGCTGCTGGACGCTCAAGCAGCCGACGGTAGCCGTTTTACCTGTTCGGAGACTTTTGTGTGCGATTTTCTCTTCGCTAAGATCACTTGGGTCTCTCGTGCCACAACACGCAAGGCGCGCAAGCGGCCTGCGGATGTCAAACGCCAGCTTCTCAAATTTTTTGTCCGCATTGCACTCACGCTCCATAACGAGGGAATCCGCCATCCCGACCTTGTTGCCAACTTCGACCAACAGTCCGTCGTAGCAAACTACGCGTCGAAGCGTACGATGGAAGCACGTGGAGCCAAGCAGGTTGATGGTGCCCACAAGGAGGAGAAGCGGGCATGGACAGCTGTTGTAGGCTTCTATGCCAGTGGCGAAGTCATCCCTCCGCAGGTCGTGATGAAGGGTGCGATAAGCTCTCGCTCTCTACCGTCTGCTTCGTCGCGCCGATACGCGGAGGCACGGGAGGCTGGGATTACATTCGTTTTGAACCCGAGCAACCACTGGTCCGATCTTCCCACTCTGCTCGAGTACGTCGGTGGTGTTGCGGCACGATTCCGTGAGCGCAAACTAGAGCTAGGCTACTCGGAGAAGCAAGCTTGTGTACTTCTACTGGACTGCTGGTCCGTACATCGTGGTCACCCCTTCCGCAAGGCTGTTCGGGATGCATGGCCATGGCTACGTCTCAAGTTCGTGCCCGGCGGCTTGACTGGTGAAGCACAGCCAGCCGATAAACTCGTACAACGCAAGTTCAAGTCTGCCGTCCAGAATGCTCAGCTGGACGACATCGTGGCTGAAGCCCTTGCACATCTTCGCTCTGGCGAGGACCCTGATTCTCTAAACTTAGAGGTAAAGATTAGTGCATTGCGCAACCAGTCTCCCTCGTGGTTTCTCGACGCATATAGTGCTATCAATGAACAGAACTTTATTCAAAGGGTAAGTAACTCTATCAAGTCATACACATTCGTCGTCTCTAACATACTACAGTCGTGGAGGGAGTGCGAAATGGTTCCCGCCGAGGGCGATCGCCCGAGCCTCAACCTGTCCTTCGAATCCTTGACCAGTCCGGCCGCATACGAACTAATGCGCGATCTCGCAAGAACGGACCCCGAGTTGTGGGCCGAAATCCAGCAAGAGTGCAACCTCGAGGAGGACCCAGAGCTAGAGCTAGGTGGTGGCGAGGACGATGATGTGGCTGTCGCGGATGATGAGCTTCTCCCCGAACTCCTGTCGCAAAACGCCACCTCCCTTGAGCCTGTGAACGACGCCACTGATCCGTCTTCCACGGACGACGAGCCGGCACTCGACGCGCGCGACTTCCTCTCGGCCCTCATGTCCCGGCACGGTGCACAGCCGTCGTCTGCTGGCAAGGTTGGCCTGGCAGACACGCTCGAGCCCGGTGAGATGCAGATCCCAGCGCCTCGCAGTGGCGAATACGGGCGCGGTCGGCGCGAGATCAAGCCCACGACGTGCTTCGCTGGGCATGTCGCCAGCGGCACGCTTTCCGATGCGGATAGCGCCACCGAGGAGCCACCGCGCAAGCGCCGGAAGCGCCAGTCTAAACCGGCTGGGTCTACTTCAGTCGCGAGTGGCACCAAGCCTGGCCGCAAGACTCGCGCAGATGCCAAGTCGGGTACAGCTGAGGTGACGGTGGGAGGAAAGAAGGGTGCGAAGGGTGCGAAGGGCGCGAAGGGTGCGAACAGTGCGAAATCTAAGAGAAATAAGTAGTTTTGCACCTTCATAGTGTAATTTGTATTTTTGTACGTGCTCGGATACCTTATTGATGGAGTATGATGGCACTGCAGGCGATTTTTGAATATAAAAATCATTTATTTATTGAATTACGCGACCGTAACGCTTTTTTGGTTCAACGCCCGCCGTTATGCGTTACCGTAGTTCATCTCGGATTTGGGCGTTATGCGTGATGAACTTCAGGTCGCTTTAGTACAGTATCCGTCCTAGTGAGCCCCTAGCACCAGGCGCATAAAAATCTTCATGTACTACTACTACAGCTACGGGTTGCAAATGTAATTATCTGGACGTCCGTTATACACTGGACAATTCAGGGGTTCAATATCGACTTCATTGAACACGGTGCGCTCCCGGGGCTCCCGGGGCCCCCGTGGCCCCCGTGGCCGGCGCAGGGTGTGTGGATCAGAGCAGACGTACCCACCAAGTCATGGGGTCGCACTATGGTTGCGTTGGAAAGGGCGAAGCTGGAGACGATGCAGCAGGACGGGGAGATCGGTCTGACAGACGGCGAAGCTTTTAAGAACCGGTTCCGAGTGATCGTTGCAGGCGGAGGGGCATTCGAAGGTCTGTTGACAGGCGCAGAATGCGAGAAGGTGCTTGCTTATGTGGAGGGGATAAACACGTGCCTGCTGTATAAGTGTAGTATTTGCGGATCTGTCATGTAGATACGAAATCAATGTCATTGTATGCGGAGTAGTTCGTTGTGAAAGAAATAAATCACCTGACCGCGAAAACACGGGATTCTGTTGATTGATCAACACGCGGTGTAACATTGATTGTGACGAGTCACGTTGACTGGTGTGCGCGCGCCTCCGCTGAAGCGCAGTTAACTCTCTTCCCTCATCACGCCTGCGCCTGTCTGCGCCTCTGCCCACATTCTTCTTGTTTATATATGGCTGGCGGCTCTACGTCTCGCCCAATATGTTCGGTCAAGCGTCCGAAACTGGCACACGACCGGCCAGGCCAAGATCTCCTTGGGTTACTGCGCTCTAGCCCACAAGACGAGACGCTTTGCGTACCCGGCACTCTCTCATACGCGCAGAAATACAAGTCTGCATCTGCGCCCGCTGTCTCCGTTTACAAGAGTGCTCTTGGAGAAGTCTCAGAGGCGGAACTGGATGCTGCTCTCTCACAACAGTTCTTGGGCGTTGCGCCCCCGCTCTTCACCGACCTGACGCCGAAGAAAAAGTGTGAGTTGCTCTGTTCACCACAGTGACTGCGGGAAGATACTAACTTGTATGGCAGCCTCGGCAATCGCGGAGGACGACGCCAAAAGCGTCGTCACGAGCGAGGCTCCTGATACCATGTCCGAGCTCGACGATCTCAATCGTTCGAGTACTGGGGGTGACGAAGGCGAAGACGCGGAGACGTCTGTAGAGAAGCAGAAGCGTAAACTGGAGATGGTGAGCTCGTCTGGCCCCGTGACATCGTATATTGCTAACGCATATATGCCAGGCCCATTCTATCCTCGCATGGCTGGACAAGGACGAAGTGTTCTTCCGCGAGATGCTCAGGCGCAAAGGACAGGGCGATGCTTTCTATTTGGAGTCATGTCCAGAATGCGGCTCACCTGGCCGTCCGGAGTACAGCTACAGCGAGTGCGAGGCTGCAGACCTCTGCCAGGCGTGCATCGTCAAATGGCATCGATACCAGCCTTTGCATCCGATCTTCGTACGTGGCGTGCTCGTAGCCGTCGGGTTGCTGTTGACAGATATCTCAGAGGCACAGCGCAGGCAGACCCGAGCGTCTGGACCCCGCGGATCTTGGACTCTGCATACAACTAGGCCATCGACCAGGTGAAGTGTGCAAGTGGCGCGAGTCCGCGCACGTCAATAACTTCACCATACTTCACACCACTGGCCTGTGCCGGATTCGCGTCGACTTCTGTAACTGCGATGATGGCAAGGATACCCCGCGCTATGTTCAACTTCTCCGGCGTGGGCTCTGGCCATCTACGGTCGAGAACCCACAGAGCGCGACATCGTTTCAAGCTTTGGACGACTTCACCCGGCTATCGAACATGGGTCGACTCACTGCTTACGATTATCACCGCGCCGCGTCGTCGAAGACCGATGGCGCCGGGCTCCGAGAGCTACCTGTATGTCTACACAATCATCTATTGAGTTCGCGCGCTAACTATGACTACGCTAACAGGACTTCCGCCAGCAATTCATGACCTGCATTCATGAATATCGTCATGTCACTCTATTCATGCGTGCGGGTCGTGGTCATGAAGCCGGTGGTATACAGGGCACACCATCGGGGATGTGTGCCGTTCGTTGTCCAGCGTTCCCTGACAAGCTTCTGAACCTGGAGAAGGGCTGGTCGTCTCGACCGCTTCAGTAAGTTAACTCACGCTTGCTGCGAGCTGCTTGTTAATCAACGTGTTCGGCAGGTGGCTGAATCGCGCTACTTACTCTCTGGACGCCAATTTCCGGCTCTAGAACCGCCTCTCACGGTCGAGTAACAAAACGGACCCTTACCTCAACCACGGGTGCGCGTATATGCCACCGTCCGAGGACTACCGTCTGCATCTTGCTCAGATGGACAAAGAGGACATCGAGCAGGTCAGTAGCGTCTACACTTATGGTCTGCCACCGTCTCTAATGAATGGCTTCAGTCCAGTGACTGCTCGCGCTTTGGAGCCATCAACCAAGCGAACATGAAAGCTGGGCGCGGCCTCAGGACGACGGGCATGGCGGCATGTACGTGCAAGCACGAGTTCTGGCAACCAAATGGCATCACGACGCTACGCAAAGGAGAACGGTACGCGCAGTGCTAAGGACCTTTCTGCGAGATCCACTTGACTGAACCTTGTGCCAGATATCTTAGCATCGACTATGTGTTCTGTGGTGCGATGAGGCACAGTCGTGCGCCGACCGTTCTGGTCACGTATGACATAGCTTGTCAATGGCACAAGAAACTGCGCGAACGTCTCGAGAAGATACCCAAGGAGCGCGAGATCTACGCTGGCGCGATGGTGATGCTCGACGTCATCTTGAAGGATAAGGCTTTGTTCTGTGTGCCGAAGTTCCACCTCTACGCGCACAAGATGCTGTGCCAAATCAGCTACGCCATTGGCTGGTCTGTCGGCACGGGGGCGCTCGATGGGGAGGGACCCGAACGTTGCTGGTCTGGTACGAACAGTGCCGCGTCTAGTCCTCGCGAGATGGGCCCTGGCACTATGCACGATACGATGGACGACATTTGTGGATGGTGGAACTGGGCAAAGGTGTGCGGCATCGGTCAGTATGTGCAGCGGCGAGCGCTTCATATATGCTAACTAAGGACTTGAAGGTTTGGCTCTCGCGGAGCGTATGTGGCGCGCGGTCATGGAGGGACGGACGCAGAGCGCTATCTCCACAGAGTTCACAGACGCTCTCAAATCAGAAGACCCGCAGGCGGTGGAGAAGTGGACGAAGAAGGCGGAGACGTGGGAGGCCGCACCGAAGAAGAACAAGAACCCCTATCAACCGGAGAAAAAAAGTACGTACATATGTGCACCTCTCTCTAACTGTTCACGTACTCACAATGGTGCAGCGGCGACTATCAAGCAGATTCAATTGGAGACGGTGCGCGCCCAAGGGCAGTCGACGACGAACCTTGCGTCTCAGGCTGGTATTGCCGACGCATCGGGTATCAGCGGTGCGGCGTCGAGCTTGCGTGCTGCGCTCGATCACGACACGGCGACCGACAGCGAGAAGAGCGCTAAGAGAGGGAAAGGACGGAGGAAAACAGCGGTGAAGAAACGCGCCACGACTGCGTCTGGCAGTGCCACCACGAGTTCGACGGCGAACGCGGATGCTACCACCGAGTCTTCGCGGACCAACATAGAGCCAGTGGCGACCGACGCTTCCTGTGCTGGTGACGCGACGAAGGACGACGCTGATAATGGCCAGGGCGGCGAAGTAGGGCTCAACACCAAACGTAAAGCGCCCGAAAACGACGGTGACGCCTACGCGCTCCCAGCGGCTGTGAACCGGACTGAGTCGGAGGAAGATGGGCATGGAGACGCGTATGTCGGAGAGGAAGCTGCCGTGGACATAGACGAAGCAGTGGCGCAGGCGAAACTCATGCTGCTTGCGTTAAAGATCGAGAGCGACCAGTACGTCCGCAAGGGCTTAACTGCCTCTACAAGATGCTGACATTTGCGTAGGTATCGTTTGGACAAGAAGCTAGACGAGAATGGCGACACTCTAACGCGGACCACTTCCAGGACGAAGGCCTTGAACGCGTTGGTGCGCGACATCGAGAAGTTTCGCGACGAGCAAGAGCATCTGATGCCGCGCCTGCATGCAACGTTATCGACGGAGGAGCGCAACCCCGAACGCTCAACGGCGCTAACGATGAAACTCTGGCTACCTTCGGATGTGGATGCCACGGACGACTGTGCACCGCGCGCCCTCCGCGCCCTTGAGATCCGTGTACGATGGGCCGCCATGTCAGACGAGCTGGGGAACCTGATGCATCAGTTGCGTTTGCGCGGCTGCTTGAATCGGTTCAAGATCATGAACATCTCGGGTCAGAGGGCAAACACCCGGGCGCGAACAGCACAGGATGCGGTGGATGCGAACGTGAAAGCCGCCGCCAACGCATACAGGCGTCATCGTTCGGCCTACTTCAATCTCGTCGGTCCAGGCGATTGGCAGAAGACGATGAGGACACTGGCGGATAGCGACTGCCGTGGCCTGGGAGACCGTCTCATTGAGCAGATTGAAGGCATGTCGGTCAAGCAGGCACGAGAGTTTGTCGCGTTGCGGAAGGGTAGCGCATCGTCGGGCGAGACCAAGGACAAGCTGCCTTGGATCTGGTATAGGAAGGGGAACCCGGAGGACGGTGATGGGTTGAAGATCACCGATGGTAAGCGACATTCGGCATCAGTCAGCGTTGTACTGTACTGACCGGAGCTCTATAGAGTTGATGCTCGAATGGCTGAAGAATCGTGCGCGGGCGCGGAACTGGGCGGAGGAAGTGTGGACCGTGGATGAAGAAATGGGGCGGGTTCTGCGCTTCAACGAATCCATGGCGCGTATCTGGGAGGAACGGTGCTACTCTACTATCCTGGATGGCGAGACACCCGACGTACCGGAGGAAGCAGAGGTGGCTGGCGCGGACCACTCTCCGCACGTGGACGCTACGGCACCATCGAGCGGCACTCGGGGCACTGAGGCGCCTTCAAGCAGCACAGTTGCGAGTGTTGCGGCCTCGAGCGGCGATTGGTGCTTTGCTCCCTGGGCAGCTGGTTTACGGACGAAGATCGCGCGCGATGCGGTACAGTCTTGGCATGCGGATGAGGCTTGGGCGAACGGCGTACGGGCGTACGCGTTGCAACAGGCTTGGATTCGGCGCCGTCAGGCCTCTTTATGGGAGGAGCAGTTCGGGAAGGCGAGGGAGGAGGGACGCGCATTCATGAAGGACCATCGGGTGGACGGATTATGCACAGCGGCCTTGGTGGCTATCCCGAGCGATAAGGAGCGAGCGGAGCTTAAGAGGAAGACGAGGCAGGGCTGGCACACGCTGCTGGCATCTGATTAGTATGTGCGTCTGTCATCGCTTGTGTCGTCTGGAATCGAGCTGACGATCATTAGGTCGGTGTATGGTGCATCGTCAGCTGGTGTTGTTTTTTAACCGACCTGTCATCTAACCCGCCGTGTCTTTCGCGCCCGGCTGCATTTCTCGACGGACGTACTCTTTCGCCTCACGTTCTTATTTTCGATTGGCTTGTTTTCAAACCCGACTGGATGTTTTTTTCTAACCGACTGGATGTTGTTTTTTAACCCAGAGACATTGTTTTCAAACCTGAATTTGTATGTACAGTATCAGTACTTTTGAATGCCATTGCGCCTTGCACGGCTTTTTAGCATAGTGGTTTTCTAACCGTATTACGACTCTGGCTGGCCTGTTTTCCAAGTGCCGACCTTTGCGGCTGGTAAAAACACCATCTTTCTTCAGACAGACTCGTTAAGAAATGCCAATGGCCCCCCAGTGGTGCACTGTTCCCGTCAGTTAATCTAGGTCTGGGAATCTGGGATGATCTGCATCATCTACAGATCCTATGGACAGATATCTACTATCTGCTTGAATAGCAAAGATATATTTGGCAATACAATAGACACATAACGGTATAGAAGTATACATGGAGGACAAATGAAATAGTTAGAGGCTTCGCTCAGAGACATGATTTCAGACATGGGGAAGCTCGTCAATTGATCAGACGCGTGGCACTACGCCAAAATTTCACGCCAATAGGTGAGCACGCTGAACGGCCCAAGCTGCTGGTAGCGAGGAGTTATGCCATGACGATCGCGCTCGAAATGGCTCGGCAGCGCAATGTTCGTTGTCAGGCCTATACTCTGCATATCCAGAGCAGGAAGGGCGTCTAGCAGGCTATCGGATGCGTCGACCGGCGTAATTAGGTCAGGACAGTCCAAGATCATTGTCAGGAACAGACGAAAGTTCTCTGAATAAAACGTGATATTGACCAGCCTGTAGTCCTTGAGCAAGACGACCGGAAGCAGAGGAAGGACTTCGGTAGTAGCGATGCTGCATGCCCTGGCACGGGGAACGCCCGCATCGTAGAACGCCCGGATATGCTCCGCGAGCACCGGAGGTGTCCTCAAGCAGGATATGCGGACCGTCACCATGATGGTGCTTGAGAAACGCAATCGTCGCAGCAAGTGTACAACGCCGTCAAGACCGAATCCATGTGCGCGCAGGTCCTGTAGCTGGAGGTTGCGGACGCCCAGCAGCGGGGTGCGGTCGACATCAACAGCATTCTCCACAGGCGCCCGGAACGCTATGGAAAGCGTGAGGTCCTGTAGAGTATCTGAGAGCTCGGCCAGGACATCGATGAGTTCATCCTCCTCGACACGCCACTGTTCCTCGGCGTAATACCCAAGCGTTGTTTGTCCGATGTAGAGGTGCGTGACACCGGTGAAATGCGCAACATAGTTTACACAGCGCACGCGCGGGATGGCGTGCGTGAATCGCAGGAGGGGGAATTCCTCGCTCATTTGGCCCTGAGTCGCCATGCTCGCGAGGATGTTTAGGCTCTGGAGGTTCGTCATCATGTCGATGCTCTCTGAAGGGGTCGACGTGAACGGATTTGAGCATACAACATTCTCGATGATGGTAAGGGTGCGGATGCGGTTCCGCGGGATAACACCGGTGTTGATATTACGCCTAACGACGTCGGAGAATTCGCGCGCGAAAGCGGAGTGTATCAGGACGTCTAACGGGCGATCTCCCGTCCTGGGCATAATCTCAATATCTGCCTTTGGCACCCGGCCGATAACGCTTGCCCAGCACTCCGGGACGTTCGCTTGCACCAGCCTCCTCAAGTGTTGACTGACGTGCGTGACCGTGATCCACCCCAAGCTCCCTCCCAATTCCATCCACTCGGGCGGCTCTGGTATGACTGATGTCTCAGTGAAATCACCATCATAGCTTGGATTGCTGTTGTACATAGCCCACTCTTCCATGTACCACGTCCTGTGTTCAAGATCGCGTCGCGGAATCGGCTTCCAGACACTGGCCAATGCCCGCACGATCTCGAGAACAACGTCATTAGGAACGTTGGGCCGGGTGGCTTGCACTCGAGGTTGGGAGCGCCGACGAGTGACAGTTGATGACGAGCTTGTCGCAACGGTCGAGGAAGAGTTACCCATATCGATGAGAGGAGGGATGTAGCTGCAGTGGGAGACGGGACGAAGTAAAGTCGGCCAGGCGCACAGTATCCTCAATGAAATACGCACAAGACCTTGAACAACTCACACGGGAGAAGCAGAAGGTGCTCAGCAGACGAGATAGGGCTAGATGAGGCGGCGATATGGAACTCGTGAGGAGAAGGAAGCGGGTCGGGCTTCGCTGCGTGTGAAAAATTCTGGGTAGCTCTACTTGCAGAGAGAGCCCAACAAAGCGCCGCGACAACGCAAACATATTACTCGGTGATGGTAAGATATCAAGACAATTGCGCCGGCTGTCCTCATAACCATCCTGCTCTCGCTTGGGTTTGGTGGGAGGAGAGAAGAAGGGAGCCGTTTTGGAAAAGCCTGGGACGGCATTGCTTCTCCGCGCGCGCCGAAGGTTTCCTTTTTCGGCCCAAACTCACTCGGTCGCGCGCGCGCGGAAAAGCAACGCCGTCCCAAGGTTTTTCAGAACGGCTGTAGGATCCGCGCCAGTAGTGTGTGGCCAGGTGTGGCCATGCACCATGACCCGCCATCGCCGCCTTTTGGCCAGTTCGTTTGCTGCCAGCTTCGCGCTGGAGGTCTCCCGCATGAATGGTCCATGTCGTGGTAGGTCCGGGATCCGTCGCGGGCTGCGAGAACGACTCGAAATGTGAACTGCCGCTAAAGTTCGGCAGTGCTTCATTGAAGCTATGCGCGGGCTGGCAACGAAGCGCCGCGCCGGATCCTGGCCTGAAGCCTGAAGCCTCAACGCCCGCCTCGACAGCGGCGTCGGGCATGGGTCTTCGTTCGACTCCGCAGACGCGCCCGGCGAAGTATGGTGCAAGCTGCCTACACCCGCGAGTTGTTGCCGCAAAGTAGAGTTCTCCGGATGGCGAACTCGCGCGGGACATGTATGGCGAGCCGGCACCTTCGCGCGCGTTCGCGGGAAGCACCGGATCGCTCTTCGAGATCCTCAATACGCAAGAGGCTCTGCGCATGAGAGCATAAGCTTTCGGGCCTCAGGACTTGAGCGCGAGGCCGAACTGACGCTGTGAACGAGGGACGTCGTGCGAGCGCGGAAGCCACAAGCACCGATGTTGATCTGAGCGGGCGAAATCGCAAGAGGCGAGCCATGGCACGAGCTAGCCTCCCTTGCAGGTTTTATCGGTGATCTTGTTAGTGGGGGGAGGACAATCAAGGTACGAGCGACCAGAGTGGTGTCGACAAGGTTCACTAGCGCGAGCGCAAATGTGAACCTGTGCTGGAATTGCGAGAGTATGGCCGACACTGGAGCCGCGCGGACTGTGACGAGCGGAGAGGAGTCTAACGTCGTCTTCACATTCGCGCTCGAGAGCGAAGGTAAACTCGAGCAAAGGGTGACACGGCATTGATCGTCTGCTGCTCGGCGCTGAGGCCAGCGCTAGTACAGCTGCGCGCACGCTCCTTCCATCAAGGCCGCCTGTGATGCCGGTAAGATCGAGCATGTCGACGACACCATCCTCAGGCTGTCACTATGATTCATAGACGATCCTGGGCTCGAGGTCCGTCGCCCCGCCACCCCCCCCCCCCC